CTCATCACCTTTAACGAAATAGGTTGAATACATCTCATACTGGTAGTCTCGAAACTCCTCTTAAATACGAAAATCATCTTTTATGTTTGGTTTATGTAAATACTATATTTAATTTATCTTAGGTAATTTTGTACATGCCATAAGCTATTCTCCCCCTTTCTTCAGTGCCATAAACTTGCAAATAAAAAGTTCAGCCCAATGAACGCTTGGGAGAAAGGACGGTTAGCACCGCGCAGCCACTTTCATCGTTTCCGACCAATACGACCATTGGGCGGGGCTCCGCTCCTCCGTTATCCAGACTATCCTAGAAATACACCTATCAGCCGGCTTGCTTCTTCACCACCTGGCTGGTACCACCTTAAAGTAGATAACACAGCACCGGCGGTCAGTGTTCTCTATGCGGCTGGACTCCGTCATCTTGAGCGCTACAGTATCATAGAAGAGAGCCCAACTGCCGAAGTTGTCAGAGAAAAAGCAAGTCAGAAGACAATGAAGGGGAGCCCTTATCGGGGCACTGAAGACGATGCTGTTAAAGATGGTGATGATGAAGAAGATGAGGTTGAAGATACTGGATTGGAAGTGCGTCTACTGACGCCGTGTCTCATCGATCGTATTCAAGTGGATGGAGCAGGCCTTGAGGACGAAATGATCACAGGGTTGGAATTGGAGTCAAGAACCCCAGTAAGCTGTAGTCAATTATTTTTCTTCCTAAGATTCAAATACTTCTTCTTTAGTCATCTTACTTTATAACTCAAGAGTATACCTCTTATGTTCTCTTGCACTTATCCGAAAGGATGTGTTGCTTAAAAGTGTGAATACAGCTCAGATAACTGATTTACTGGTAGTCTAAAAACTCTACTTAAACGAAAAATAAGTAATGTAGTCGATTTTTATAGCAAAAATTTGTTTTAATGAGATGTATTCACCCTATTTTGTGTAAGGTGATGAAGGACTGGTGGTAGAATTTTGCCACAATGATATGAGTTGAGCTGACGTTTCCATTGAATTTCACATAGCCTTGCTTTCCC